TCCATATTTCGGTTTACGTACCGCATATGATTATGTATTGGAACTGCTATAGTAGGTACAATTAGAACTTCAATTGGAAATTTACGCCTATTCTCTATTTCAATGTGTACGGTGGATTTACGTAGTTCGCTCGTGCTGGTGTTATCCTTTCCAAATGCCGATAAATGTACAATTTCAACTCCTTCAGTTTTCAAATTCAATTTTTTCGCTAGATCATCAGTTAAAAAAGATCTTTGTGCACCCTCATCAAATAAAACATTCGTATCCATACATATATTACCTGACCATACAGGAGCTACAGCAGTCTTCAATAGCACATTTGTACGCATCTGTGTCGATGAATGCAAAACTTTAGTATCTTCCTCGTTTTCAGTGTCATTTATAAGATTGACGGGTATAGATTGAATCTGTTTATCGGTATTGCTTGTAATGAATGCTAAACCTTCGCTGTTAACATTGCTACTTGCACTACATAGGCTGGAATGATGTCTCTGGTTGCAGTGTCGACACGTTCGTTTCGATTGACACTCATTAGCATGATGATTACCTAAACAATTAAAGCATAAATCATCACGTTTTACGATAGACATGCGAGCTTTATGATTACTAACATTGGTACAGTGTGCTGGTGCATGTATCTCTTTACAAAAAACACATGGTCTTTCTGTAATATTCCGGGGTTGGCTCTTCGCGTTGTGTGATGTGTTTTCTCGCGGTGATTCTGTTCCTGTATGAAATGTACAAGTAGATGCAATTGCGAACTGACGGTTTAAAGACTCGAGATATGTACCTGTATTTTGTCCTGCCTCCATGATTTGAATTTCATTCAATATGCTCCTTCTCAGATCTTTCAAATTCCAACTGGATGGTCCATGTTCTCTTGCTAAGTGTTGTCTGATTTCACTTGGTAACTTTCTCATGATAATCGGTACCAGTAAAGTTCCATATGACGTCTCAGGTTGTCCGAGCGAATCTAAACCTCTTACGTAGGCTTCACATCGGTCATAAAATAATCTTAAGCTTGACAAGGTGTATCGTGGTTGGGCAATATCTAAAAGTGCCTGTAAGTAGGCTTCCGTAATTCTGTATGTTTGTCCGAACCGTTCCTTGAGTACATTTATAGCCTCCATGTAATTACCATTTGTAAGCGCAAATCCAGTTATCGTATTTAATGCCTCGCTTTCAAGTTGCGATTTCAGATAATTAAATTTCTCAATGTTTGTCAAAGTAGGATTAAAATGTACAGCAGATTCGTACGAGTCCCAAAACGTTTGCCAATCTAAAATGTTGCCATTAAACTTCGGTAGTGATAACTTGGGTAAACGATGGTTACTAGTACTAGCTATATTTTGTGGTGCAATATGACCTGTATCAGAGCCATTGTAGCTTGTCTGTGGTTGAGCGGCGGATGAAGCATAGAATGGTGTTGCGTTTTGAAAGTTATCAACATTTGCCGGGTGGAAAGGAGGGCTTTCTACATTGAGTACTTGATATGAAGATTGTGTTACATTGGAACTTGGTGTACGGTTTTGACCAATTTGTATAAAATTACGAAAATGTCTAAGTTTAGTGTCTAAATTATTTGAATACTCATCTGTATCTACTATTTCACTTTCAACGTTGTCTGAATCCGTTGCTTCCAATATCTGTTCGTTCAGTTTTTCCAACAATTTCTTCTTTTGCGTAAGATTATCGTACGTTGCAAGTAGTTCATCTCTGTCGAAGTCCGTGTTTTCCTTCGCCTCCTCGAATTTTCGGAAAAGTCTCGTCACTGCACTTCTATTTCCAGTCCTAATATTCTTTAACTTCTCCATCGATGTAATCCTGGTCACGGCACCATAAATGTCGGGGCTAACTCAAACTATCATTATACAGAAAGAACACAACCATACAGTTTAACGTTTACTTCATATATATTCGAGCTGCTAAGGCTACGTCCCGCATTGACGTCAACCCTAGATACAATTGGTAAAACGCGACGTCTTAACTCCCGCGGTATTCTCAACAATATCGTAGACTTTACTGGTTGCAAATCTCAACAAATTTGGTCTCCAGTGGAAGTTTGTCTCATTGACAATCATACACATTCTTATATTTAGAAGATTTTGTAAATTGCAAAGTTGAATTGATGTGTTATATTCAATTACCACAAACACTTTCTTGTCAAATTCCATGCTTTATAACTTTGTAATGATACTAGCAAATATAAATTAAAGTTTCAAGGGAAAAAAGCTTTTATTCTTAAACTAAAAGATAAAAAAAAAGTAAAAAATATAATAGTATCATTGCGTTGCCATTTTAAAGCATGTACCGTCAACTTCTGGGTTCTCTTTTATTTTCATGCATGTTATATTGTCATCATTACATAAAAACGTTGTGAATGTTAGATCTAGATCGTTTTGGGTGTCAGTTTTTGTGTCTGTATGGCGTTACTTTAAAACGCACAACTGATTAAAATTTTGGTTATATAAATTTAGAGACGGACCCGCGGCTACGTACTGGATGCTTGTTTTTAAAAAAAGTACTTTTTTCTCGTCGACCTTCCACAACACGCGGCCAATCCGACAAACGAGGTATTAATTTGACGTGGCCTTATTTCTGTTCATTTTTTGATAAAATGTAAACAGGCTTTTATAGCTTTCTAGATGATAAAACTATTATTATTCATTTAAAGGTTATATCAAAACAAGCTCTAAAAACTACTTTGATAATTTGATTCGTAATAAGATGCAAATAATTGATGAAAAATGTAAACTTTATTTATATACCGTAATCGGGCTTGTATAGTTCGCACTGGTACATAGTCCGCACCCCCTTCTCCCCACGAAATTTCAGGTAAAAAAACTTTTTGTAACTGTTAGAAAAGGTCTAATGAAACTCCGGTAATTTTAAATCGTGTGTGGTCATTTGCGGTATTTTCTTGGAAAAACCTATTTTCCATCACCAAACAGAAGCTGAAACTGCTTGTAAATGGTTCTAAAAGACTTCACGCTGGTTAAAAAAAGTCTAAATCACACAAAAAACAATTTAGAAACTTGTGTATGTTTAAACCGGAAGTTTGAAAAGCACGTGTAAAAGATGAAAAAACCCAGTGAGAGTCGAAATCCGTATATAATAGATATCACTATAATACGACTTTGAAAGTAAAACAGTTCCCTCCTTATGTAAAACAGTGTTTAATATATCTATCACATTAATGTTTGAAGGGTCTTAAGCTAATACAAAACATATTTGTCAATAGGAACAACCAAAACGGAACGAATAATAACCGATTACGTTTTGTAGTTTACACATCGTAAGCTGGTTTACGGTTGTCTGTCTTTTTTTACTTTTTTTGTACGATTTCATTCAAGCAGATACCAGTTTATATTTAGCAATGCATTGAAAAGAATTGAGAATTTTGTAATGAAGCATTTAATTTTTTAATTTTTCAATATTAATTTGATATTGAATAAAAATAACTTATTAATATGGATTGGGTAAAATTATTGGTTTGAAAATGATAAGAGCGCACTCTACAATGTCAATAACAAACATGGCGGAACGTAAACAAACCACATCGCGAAATTGAAATTTTCTCTCTTATTTCTTACTTATTGTACTCTATCATGTGTCTATAGTCCGCACCCCTGCTGTCAGGGTCAATTTTGGAGAATAAAACCGCGGACTATACAAGCCTTTTAACGGTAAGAATCTTAAAACAAATTTATTTTTTGAAGACTATTTAAGATCACCAAACTTTACATATAGAAAGTTAATTGTGGTAGACTGTAGGTTTTACAGTAATTGTGTATATTTTTATATTAAATTTATGGTATTCTGTTTTGTATATTATATGACTTATATTGATTAATTAAAGGTATGAGTATATTAATTATAGATTGTAATTAATTGATCAGTATTTTTATTTTCATAGTTCATTTTATTTGCTTATTTGACATTTGGACTTATTGACAGTTGAGTTTTCTACTGGTTTGGGTAACTTTTTCTTCTGGTTTTGATGGTATAGGTGGTGGTTGTAAATCAATTTTAGCCTCTGGTTCCTCCTTTATCTTTCCTTTCATCTTCAAAAATCCCATCATCCAATCATTAAGTTCCTCTGGTGTATCTGCCTTGGGTTTGACTCCCATCTTTGCAAATGCATCCATCATCTTCTATCTGGCGTATGGCTACTCTAAGTGCATCAAAGGTCTTGATGGTATCATACTTGTGGCCGGATATGTCTTTTAAAGATGTCCTAAGTCCAGTCCAAAGCATAGATCGTAGCATCTCATCAATGTCCTTGGGTTGTACTAATCCTCTTTCTTTGGCTTTCCCAAGTATGCTCTCTAGTCTACAACTCCAGGTAGTAACGCTCTCATCTGTTCCTTGACGTGCACTGTAAAATTCTGCCAATAATTCCTCTTTCTTTTCCACACTGCCATAACACTGTCTAGCTTCTGTAGTATCTCTTGAACTGAAGCATCTAAATCCAATCTCATGGCAACCATTCCAGCTTCTCCACATAAAGATCTTCTTACGGTTTTGAGTATTAGTTATTTATTAATTAACAATTAGTTATTGAAGTAAAATACAGTGAAACCAAAGTTACCCAAACCAGTAGAAAACTCGTCTGTCACTAAGTCCAAATGTCAAATAAGCAAATAAAATGAACTATGAAAATAAAAATACTGATCAATTAATTACAATCTGTAATTAATATACTCATACCTTTAATTAATCAATATAAGTAATATAATATACAAAATAGAATACCATAAACTTAATATAAAAATATACACAATTACTGTAAAACCTAGTCTACCACATACTTTACAAATACAAATATTACATAAAAAATTGTTACAGTTAGATTTAAGGCGCCATGTGGTTAAATAAAGTTTAAATAGCATTCATTTGAAGGGATATTTTGTTCAGTATAGATGGTCTTATACAACAAAGAGTTTATGGATTTTTCAATTGACCCATATTTATCAAAATGAGAAAAAAGTGGTACAAACCAAATATTCCAGTGTTCTACCAATGTCCAGTATGGATTTAACACCAGCTGATATAACTGTTACAGGAGTTCTACCAAGTTCTGTTAAATCGGCACTAATATCCATTGCTAAAGTAAAATACAATTTTAAGAAATAACTATAAAGAGTTTTGTCATTATGTTTTTTTTTTCTTTTTAATACTGATTTTCATCATTAAGATATGTTAAAATTGAAATACTTGAAACATATCTCCACGGAGATATGTAATGCCTGCTTAGCGGCAAAATTAAAGAGGGAAATAATTGATAGCACAATATAGCATGCTAACAGTTATTATCTCTTTTCAATTTATCATTACACCTGTCTAATATATAAGGTTTATCTTTGGTGAATGTATATCATGTTTCACAGACTTATCTTACTTGGCTTCTCTTAAACCAACCTATTCACAAACCTTTAATAAAAAAAACATTCACAGTCAATAAACCATGTCATAAGGAGAAGGGATAACTAATCTCCTTGAAATATGATTTACCGATTTTAAAATAAACAGCTAACCAGATATATCGTGGATTTGTCGTTAGTGGTTACAGTAGAACTAACAGAATTCAGTGTTACAGACACCATTATCACTTTGTTGACTCTTACTGAATATTATGCAGAAGATGACCTTGTGTAACAGGAGAGCATGATTCGTTTTACAAAATCGCTTGTCTCCACCGGGACTCGAACCCGGGACCTTTGTGTTACAAGGCAGCGCGTTTACCGACTGAGCTAAGGAAGTACTTCCTTAGATCAACCGCTTATGGCTGACTAAGTATCTACTAATGAAGGGAAGCAATCCCGTCACACTTCCCCCACCTCAAGAGTCATCATACCATTATGACTCTCACAACACATACCCTAGCTAGAATTCCTATCTAACCACCGTGGGTTTTTTAGTTGGGCACCAAATGTAACCGGAGAGCATGATTCTTTTTGAAAAATCACTTGTCTCCAACGGACTCGAACCCAGGACCTTTGTGTTACAAGGCAGCATGTTTACCGACTGAGCTAAAGAATTACTTCCTTAGATCAACCGCTTACAGCTGACTAAGTATCTACTAATGAAGGGAAGCAATCCTGTCACATATGTCCCATTTGTTGACGCCACAACCCCTGCTTCTTTTATCCTTTATGATTTATCACTATATTTTTAGTTGTCATGAACAGGAACTGTTTACCCTTATGTAACACCTGAGTTCATCCCTAGTTTTTTGGCAGTTTTTGATTGGTTTCTGAGTTGTATTTTGTGACATTTTATGTTTAAATTCCTTTATTTATTCCATTAGTTATGATTTTGTCTATCCTTCGTCTGAAAATCTATTTGTGCTTCTATTTCCATATATATGCAAGACAAAGGACATTTACCATTCTACTACTTGTCTTTTTCCCCAATAACAGTATATCTCCGTATACAATAGTGACACTTACAAAAGCATTGAAAATAGCTGTATCATTTTTAATTGCAATATAAAAGTGACAACGTCTTTTTTTTCTAACCTTAACAAACCTCTAAACCTTTTCAAAGTTTACCTTATCAAAAAATGATTGGACTGTATTTGTAACAATTCTTACATGTCTCCGCCCCTCTGTGTACCCCTCCAATACCTCCAGTAACAAATATAGGTATACCAACTTGATTGGCAATGCTCATTGTCCCTGAGACAGTTGTACCACCATTTATACCCTGTAAGTAAATCAAAATTTATTTTCTTGTTAATTCAAATCATCAAATTTATTATTGTTGGTAAGCATTTTTTGACAATTTTTAACTACATCTTTCATACTCAAAGCCTTACCACCCAATACGTACATGACATAATTAGAGATTGACTCTAAAGAATTTACCATTTCTTATCATTTCAAGTTTTAATAAAATGCTCCGCAGGGTGCAGCTTGATACGACCGCAGACATCGAACCCTGAACAGTTGGGGCAAGTATGGACACAACATTCAAGCTTGATACAGCTCTGAATTTGGATTGTGATTAAATATTTGACACAGCATAGGTTTCTGACACAGAATGAATGTGGTCTAAGAACTTAAAAATTTTAAATAGGACATTCACCTATTATGGTCCAATATCCAAAATCTAAATACATGGTTAGATTCAGCATGTCAAAGAACCCCAAGAATTCAATTTTTGATGAAATCAAACAAAGTTTAATTTTGGACCCTTTTGACCTCAATGTGGACAAAGTTGATAACGGGGCCCAAAAATCAAAAATCTAAATACATGGTTAGATTCAGCATATCAAAGAACCCCATATATTCAATTTTTGTTGAAATCAAACAAAGTTTAATTTTGGACCCCAACTTGGACCAACTTGAAAACTGGGCCCATAATCAAAAATCTAAATACATGTTTAGATTCAGCATATCAAAGAACCCTAAAAATTCAATTTTTGTTAAAATCAAACTAAGTTTAATTTTGGACCCTTTGGACCTTAATGTAGACCAATTTGAAAACGGAACCAAAAATTAAGTATCTAAATACACGGTTAGATTCGGCATATCAAAGAACCCCAATAATTCAATTTTTGATGAAATCAAACAAAGTTAAATTTTGGACCCTTTGGACCTCAATGTGGACCAATTTAAAAACGGGGCCCAAAATCCAAAAACTTAATACACGGTTAGATTCAGCATATTAAAGAACCCCAAGAATTCAAGAATAAAACCCCATTGAAATTGATAAAGAAATAAGCAATTTATACGAAGTATCTTCTTTTGCACAATACTGTGCAATTGAATATTTCTTGCTATTGCTCAATACTGTACAATTGACAATTTCTTGCTATTGCGCAATATTGTGCTATTGGATATTTCTTGCTATTGCGCAATACTGTGCAGATGAAGATTTCTTGCTATTGCGCAATACTGTGCAATTGAAGATTTCTTGCTATTGTGCAATACTGCGCAATTGAAAATTTCTTGCTATTGCACAATACTTATTATATAATAATTTACACATCCTGTTTGGTGTGTATCTCCTACCATATCATTATTATTTGCTTTTAAATATAAATTAGAAATAACCAACTTAAAATGGAAAATTTTAAAAGAAAACCCCCCCCCCCCCCGCAAATTTTTTGAACCCCCTTATGATTTATCACCCCCAAACTCGATCCCAGCCTTCCCTTTGTGGTATGGTACCTTGCAGTACAATTTCAGAGAGATCCATACACTTGAACACAAGTTATTGTCTGGAAACTAGAAAAATGCTTATTTTTGGCCCCTTTTTGGCCCCCAATTCCTAAACGTTTCGGGCAATTACCCCCAAACTCAATTCTAGCTTTCCCTTTGTGATATGGAACCTTGTAGTACAATTTCAGAAATATCCAAACACTTACACACAAGTTATTGTCATGAAACTAGAAAAATGCTTGTTTTTTGCCCCTTTTTTGGCCCCTAATTCCTAAAATTTTGAGGCAATTACCCCAAAATCAGTTACAACCTTCCCTTTGTGATATGGAACCTTGTGGTACAATGTCAGAGAGATCCATACACTTACACACAAGTTATTGTCCAACCCTGAACAGTTGGGACAAAAATGGACACAATATTCAAGCTTGATTCAGGTCTGAATTTGGATTGTATTTAAATATTTGACATATTATAGGTTTCTGAATAAATGTAGTCAAAGATCTTGAAATTGGTTATATGAATTGAATTTATATTGAATTAAAGATTCCTTGCTGTTGTGCAATACTTAGTAAATCTGTTGTCAGACTATAAACAAATAAAGTTCAATTAATTCTCAATGTCATATTAGAAATTTATGAAAATAAAAAGGGAGCTTACATCAATAGATATAAACAATTCACCAAAGTTTCATGAGAATTGGTGACAGCATTTTTGAGTTATTGTCCGAAAACTGGAAAATCACCCCTTTTTTTAATGAATAAAACCCCATAACTCAGAAATGTAAAATGTAAAATTTATAAAATTCTAAATGGATCTTACATCAATAGATATAAACAATTCACCAAAGTTTCATAAGAATTGCTGAAAGCATTTTTGAGTTTTTGTCCAAAAACTGGAAAATCCCCCCTTTTTTTATGAATAAAACCCTGTAACTCGGAAACGTAAAATCATAAATTTATAAAAATCGAAAGGGAGCTCATGTCAATAGATATAAACAATTCACCACAATTTCTTGCAAGTTGGTCAAAGCATTCTTGACTTATTGTCCAAAAACTGGAAAATCCCCCTTTTTTTAATGAATAAAACCCCACAACTCGGAAACGTAAAATCTAAATTTTATAAGAAACGAAAGGGAGCTCACGTCAATAGATATAAACAATTCACAAAAGTTTTATGCAAATTGGTTAAAGCATTTTTGAGTTAATGTCCGACATGTTGACGACGGACTGACGGACGGACAGACGGAGATGGACAGACGGACAACGGTATACCATAATACGTCCCGTAAACGGGCGTATAAAAACTAATTTTATGTCAATGATATTATTGAAAACTTCATGCAGACCTTTAGAGTTAATTTTGTTATTTGTGTTGTTGGTTTGCTGTCTCATACATCTCTTTTTATTCCTACTGAAACTAAATTAGGATAACTATCATAACTTATTTCAATTATATTGAAAGGTTTCGAATGCAGCAACATTGAGTTGAAAATACAACAGAGTTTTTGCACTTGAAAAACTTTGGGCCTCTTTGATAATTATTTATACAGAATGGTAGTCTTACAACCATATTGTGTTATTATATATCTTTTTGACTTATTTATGAAAACAGAGCAAAATACATGTCATGTATACACAGTACATGTAAATCTTTTTTTCTATTTAATTATCTATAGATATTTCAGTATAAAGAGATTATGAAAAAAGAGAGTGAGAGAGAGAAGGAGAGAATCAAAGGGACAAAAAAGACATTTTCAAATGATTTATATTTTAGTTTTTCATACATGTGGACAACTGCTCAAGTAACATTCTGGTATCTAACTAAATCTTTTCTGTTGTTTGAAAGCCATTGATTGTTGTTTGTTTGTTTTCATGACCAATTTATATCTATGGCAACTGTTCTTTATCTCTGCATTACTATATATTATACACACAAAAGAGCCTGTAGTTAAGTGGTTGTGGTTGGTTCATGTCAGTCCTATTTTTTTGTTGTTGTTGTTGTAAATTGTTATGTTATAAATTAGGCCGTTGGTTTCTCATTTCACATTTTTCATGTCCGGCATTTTATGTGTTTTTTTCATTGTTGAAGGCTGTACGGTTGCCTATAGTAGCTTTAATACATCCACTTCATTTGAACTCTGGTGGATAGTTGTCTCATTTTCAATCATATCACATATCCTTATTTTTATACTGAAATATGATATAGGACAAACCTCTTCTTGAAGCCTTTATACCTGAAATATGATACAGGAGAGATCTCTTCTTGAGGCCTATATACCTTAAATATGATATAGGAGAGATCTGTTCTTGAGGCCTTTACACCCGAGATATGATAAAAGACAAACCTCTTCTTGAAGCCTTTATACCTGAAATATGATACAGGAGAGATCTCTTCTTGAGGCCTTTATACCCAAGATATGATAAAGGACAGATCTCTTCTTGAGGCCTATATACCTTAAATATGATATAGGAGAGATCTCTTCTTGAGGCCTTTACACCCGAGATATGATAAAAGACAAACCTCTTCTTGAAGCCTTTATACCTGAAATATGATATAGGAGATCTCTCTTCTTGAGGCCTTTACGCCCGAGATATGATAAAAGACAAACCTCTTCTTGAAGTCTTTATACCTGAAATATGATACAGGAGAGATCTCTTCTTGAGGCCTTTACACCCGAGATATGATAAAAGACAAACCTCTTCTTGAAGCCTTTATACCTGAAATATGATACAGGAGAGATCTCTTCTTGAGGCCATTATACCCGAGATATGATAAAGGACAAACCTCTTCTTGAAGCCTTTATACCTGAAATATGATACAGGAGAGATCTCTTCTTGAGGCCTTTATACCAGAGATATGATAAAGGACAGATCTCTTCTTGAGGCCTATATACCTGAAATATGATATAGGACAGATCTCTTCTTGAAGCCTTTATACCTGAGATATGATATACATGTAGGACAGATCTCTTCTTGAGGCCTTCATACCTGAGATATGATATAGGACAGGTCCCTTCTTGAGGCCTTTAAACATGGTTTATCTTTCTTGGAAAGTAATTCTAGTTCTTCTGTTGTAAGACCTGCAAAATCAAATATGTAAAAGTAGATAAGCTTCTACTCCCTTTTAAAAACAATTTGAACTGTGAGCTATTGCTCACACAAGATATATCCAAGATGTAAGTACAAATGTATTCTCTAAACAAAAAGTTAATGAGCTTATAAACCAGGGATAACGACATTGCAAATTAAACAACATTTCTTACAGCAGCACAGTTTGATACATAATATGACACTGATTTATTTTTATGTATCTGTAACAAGGGTCAGGAAACAATCATATTTGCCAGACATGACCTAAACTAAAAGCTCATTGACCAAAATGGGAGATCGGTATTTAGGTAGAAAACAAAATTTACAGAAAAGATTTGGTCATTTTCATTGACATGAGGTTTTTTATTCACCATTTTGCCCTAATTTTTTTCTGGTAATTAAACAGCCATTCCAGTATAGTATAATAATCCGGAGGGCCCTCCTAATTACCATATTAATGCCTCCGAGAGATATTGGATACTGATCGCTAATCTATTTTTACCTGTGTTCTTCACACCTGACAGTAGTGATCATGTTCAGAACTAATATTATAAAGAAATTTTATTCCATGACAACTTACTTCATTATTTAATAACTTTTCAGCAAAGACAATCACCAATTCTGATTTAACAATTGAAACTTTTATAATTAAGTAAAAAAAAGTAATTTTTCAGGCATCAAAAGTATACTTTATTTAGGCGACACCAAATTGATTTTTCGATCTTTGGATTTTGCCATATCTGGAATTTTCTCACCCACATCATGGATTCCATATAGAAATTAAAAATTAAAAAATCTCAGGTTCCTTGTTCTGCTTGCTGCAAAGACATGTTAATTGTTAAATAATCCTAAGAACAATTCCTTGTAGGAAAACCATGCAGCTAGCAAGCATGATGATTCTGAGAAAAAACAGATGTTTGATTTTTATGACCACCCCCTCTTCTAAACTTACATATTTAGAAGAGTTATGTGACTTATTATCTGTTATAAACTTGCCTCCATCAATGATATTGTTTTTAATAGAAATCAAGCAAAGATTTTTACAAAACTTATTAAATCTTTATCTGAAATAAATAGGATTGTGAAGGCCAAACCTTGATTCAGAATATTATAATCTGCAATGAGGTAAGCATAAATAGTGTTTGTTTTCCAGCTGAAGAAATATAATTCAAAATCTTGCCATTGTTTAGATTTATAGTTAAACTTTGTTTACGATTACAAATATTCATTCCTTTGTGGGGCCTTATTGGCAGAGTAGTCAAACTACTGAATTCATCACTTTTAAACTGTTGCATTCCATTCATTGTTCTTGAACTCAAAAAGGGTAAAAAAGTTCAAATGTAAATGCGATGAAACCGTCAATACAAGTTAGTTAATGAAATAAATCTAGTATGAATAATTTTCAAATAATCTCATAATGAATGTAATTATGTGAAAATTTTTCCAGATCCTTGATTTATAATACATGCAATACCTAAAAATGTTTAAATGCTCTCCAAGTAACAGCTATACAAGAAGGAGTCATAGGCTCAAGAACACAGTAACTAACACTGTGTACTTTTTAAGAATAGATGATAGCTAAAAATACAGCAACTGTGGACAGGAGATAGTTTTCTGTATTATGGGTTTCCTCAGGAAAAAAATTAGGTCAAGCTTGAAGAAAAATTTGCTAATTGTGACTAAATTTATCTCAATGAGCATTAACCTTTTTCTTCTTGACAAAATTACCACTTCACCTCAAAAATCACTGACAAATTTTAATCAACAAGATCCCAATGCTTTTTTATTTCAAATAAATAAGGAAAGCATAATTAGAAATAAATCACAACTGGTTTGCTATGCCTGTGTCTGTTGTCGATGATATGGATTTCAATAAACTTGATCTATGTATTACTGGTAAATTTTTAAGTCAGGTATTCGGTTATCCCAAATTACTTAAAACCTTTACTTAATTATTCATTAGATATAGAGATTTGGTTTGGAAGTTTGGTTGTACCTGTAGAAAACTTATTTCAAACCGGATAGCACATCCTAATTTTTATGGAGATGTTGTTTACCAAACCAGGAAATTTAGATATGATCCGAGTAAACTTAACGATCCTTTAAATAAACTTATTCTAAAAGGTTACCAATTCAACACTGTAATTAGATCTTTGATTATAGTTTATATTGGTATTAATATTGATTTTGTTATCAGAAAATTAAAATCAAACTAAATATTATTTTTATATTCATATGAACATTCATGGCTTTACAATCTGTCGATACCTGTATCTTGGCATTGCACAAGGTCATGTTTTCTCTGACTGTTAATGACATCTTTACACTAAATCCATTGGATGTTGGATGTGTACTGATTGATATTTTTGTCTTAGATGCAAGTTATTTTTATTAGTTGTTTTGGCTTTGAACTAGCTGTCAGTAACTGTGAGTACTCTCAGATCTGTACTTGGTGTCTTTTTGTAGTGTGGAGTACCCTGCCACGTTCACTCTGTGTTTTTGTTAGATGTATTTCTGCTTTGTATCTATCTGATGAGTTAATCCCTTTCCAACTGATTTTTATAGTTTGTTCTTGTGATGTAGTTACACCACTGTCCAAGGTTAGGAGGTGGGTTGGCACCTTCAAACTAGTTTAACCCTGCCACATTCTGTATGTGAGCCAGGAGCCTGTAATTCAGTGGTTGTCGTTTGTTGCTGTATATCATATCTGTTTTTCGTTCATTATTTTGTACATAAATCAGGCCATTAGTTTTCTTGTTTGAATTGTTTTACATTTGTCATTTCGGGCCTTTTATAGCGATGCAATATGGGTTTTGCTCATTGTTAAAGGCAGTACTGTGACCTATAGTTGTTAATTTCTATGTCATTTGGTCTCTTCTGGAGAGTTGTCTCATTCGCAATCATACCATATCTTCTTATTTTTATATTATAATAATACATTACAACAAAAAGTTTGAAATTTACATACCTACTTTCACTTTACCATTAATCACAGCTATTGTAGCAGGAATTACGCCCTGGTCTCTCACAAGATTTTCTACTGATTGTGCTGTGCTGAATATATAGAGGATCATTTTAGTTAATAAAACCATACTTATTGGGATTAAATTCACCTACATTTGTACCTTAAATGCTTCTAAACATTTCCAGACAGTTTTTAGTACAAATATGATTGCAGCAGACTTCACCAATCATTATCAGGTGTTATAATAAATAACAAGTGACCTACTGCATTTTTTTGTATTGTCATTCACTTATATATTTGACTCATTGTTCTGGTAAAGCAATCAGTAATCAATGGTTTGAGCGTGGACATCAAGATAGGGTGTAACATGTCAAGCAACATCCTTCTGGTCAGTCCAAATAATTATGACCTCTTATTGAAAGGCAATTTTAATTTTTTGCTAGGACGTCATAATAATTTAGACTACCTTTCTGGTATACTTAATATTTCTGTAAGTTCTTGAGGTGTTTGTATGGTCCATGCATTTTTTGTTTGTTTGTAAAACTGAGAAATAAAACTAAATTAAAGTATTCTTTTTTAAAAACATTCTGTCTACTTGGAAGAAATTTGGGAAGTGTGATTTGTGTGATAAATGATTCCACATAGTTCACAAAGATCTGTGAAAAAAATTGTTTTCATGTGATACGGTGGGAATTTGAAATGGTTTTTTTTTTTTCAAACACCTACACTTTTACATTTATTATATGAAATATAAGATGATTTCCTGCCCTTTGATGAACAGAATTCCTTTTCTCAAAATCAAAGATAGCGTGGTCAATTCCTAAGAGATTTAGAACCATCACAATTTTGAAGTGTTGCATTCCATAAAAGGTCCTCAAACGTTTTTACAAATTTTTAAAATCGTAAGAAATTTAGTGAAGTAAATACATTGAACATGTTGAAACCATTGATACAAGTTCATTTATGTGTGCCCTAACTTCTAGTATGAATTTGATGGTTTGAGAAAAGGATTCCAACTTTCAAGTCCTATAAAACATGTTTACATGATTGAAATGGTGTGAAAACATTTCCAGATCCTTGCTTATAAAAATTAGTTTCTGATAATACATTTTTAGTAATGTAAGCCTATAACCCATGTTATTTGTCCCATAAGTTCATTAAACATACTTTTGAAGTTATATATATATATGAAAGTAGACCAATTGAAGATATATATGGATATGGATTGTTACTTTGTGTCTTTAGTCTTTTTATAGGTGCTTTGTGTCAATCTGATGAGTCAATTCTTTTTCAATTGATTTTTATATTTTGTTCTTATGTTTTGGTCCAGGTCAGCTAAAAAGTGACAGAAACTATTTTAAAATGTAAATTTACCTAAGATTATGAGGATATGGCATACCATGTGTAATTATTGTACTTTCTAATGCTACTACTGGCTTCCCAGAATCCAATGCTTCTTTCACTTCGTCTTGAACTTCAATCACACCTTAAGATAAAAATGTCATAAAAAAAATATTATAATGATAAAAAAACAATGAAGACATTAGTAGCATTTTATCATAATATGATACTTAAGAATACACTGTTGGTTATGGTATTTTATATTAAACATGTTAAAATGCAGTTAATTCATTGTGTTTGTTTACTGAAATATTTCAGTACATCATGTACATGGTGACAAATGAAAATATAGCAAATATTGGATATGGTCTTGGTTTTCGTCTAGGATGTATTATCATGATTATAGCATGCTAATAATTTAAGATTTCTGTATATATTTTATAAATGATACATGTGATACATTTGTCTGTATATCCTGTATATTGTCGTTTCATTATTATTCGTTAGATACCAATTTTCATGGACTTTGTTGGTAAAGCTTAATCACAAATTTAATTGTTCAACAAAGTACAATTTTCTATAAGCTTGTATGATGCAGGCTTTGACAAAACCAGAAAATCAAATATAGAAGAAATTACAATTTCCACATACCACAAAATTAATTATTGACAGAAATGCAATTTTTCCTCAATCCACGTAAATTGGTATCCATGAAAATAAATAAATCGACAGTTCATGGAATATTTCCAGCTCATAAATTATGTATTTGCCATACTTACTTAACTTTGTGTTTTTGTAAAAAATGTAAAATTTTACAAAAATACTTAACATGCTTAACTCCAAGGTAAATTCAAAAAGCAGGGGAAGTCCATAAAAACTGACAAAAACAAATTCTCGATAATAGCAACCAACACAAATTTGATCTCAGTTGTTTTTGCAGTTCTCATAAACTCTTTCGTTTATATGCTATATGCTCTCAAAAGATTTTTGACATCTAAAACTTTTGATTTGTGTAACACACAGAGTGTACATGTACCTTATGTTATGAAACTTATTTCATCTTTATGGTGGAACATTCCTGTTTTCATCTATATTATAAGATTAGTTTTACAGAGCACTTACCATTTGACAAATGACAGGTCTTCTGTTTCCATGGTGACTGTTTAAGGCATTTATAACCATAGAATCTGGATAACAACCTAGAGAAGTGTGTACCAGTAACTGTCATTCTAAAATCTCAGTATGTGTTCTCTTAAAAAAAAGCATCAGTACCATTTACACATGTGTCGCTCACCTGGATCTATGTGAATCTTCAATAACAGCCTCTTCCTATCATTGTAGACTAGAATATAATTCATAACTAAATCTCTTTTTATGTGATGTTGTATTGCTGATCATTTTTTCTGTTTACAGTTTCTCCTTATATACTATAGTTTTTGCCAGACCACAAATATGAGAAATGACTCTAAATGGTTATCTGTATAAAATGTATATATTTAGCTATAATACTGTGAAACTACAACAAGTCTTTACTATTTTGTTTAAAAATAAGCTTAGAAATCATATTGCCCAATATTACCCGTTTCTGGGAGTAATTGCCCCGCCTGGGAAAACCCGGGTTATCATGTTCAGTGTGTTTAAAATTTGCTTGACAATGATTTTTAAATTTTGTGTGTAATTTATTTATTGTACATGTTATTTATATTAATTTTAAACTAAAATGATAATATTTCAATTCTTTTATGTTGATAATGCACACCATTTTACAGTATCCAAAAGACAAATTTAGGATTCATCAACTTTTATTTACAATGTATTAGAGATAGCAAAAATAATAGCAATTTAAACACAACCATAAATATTTTTCATCAATATCCTAAGTCTCCAAATAATTATGACGACTTGTATAGTTAATTTAAATTTTCTGAATTTCTTGATAAAAAATAGCCTTACAACTATTTAAATACAAGGCGTCATAATTAAAATTATTTTTTGGACTGGTTGGTCACATGCATGCCATCGATCTGATCATAGATGTATAAACCCAAACACAAAAGTGTTGGAGATATGCTTTGTAGATCAAAGTTAAAGACTTAAACATAAAATTGACAGTTGGACCCCTGATGATGGCAGATCTGTCATAATAACTAGATCTATCAAAGAAGAATTTAAATATAAATATATCAATATATACATGAATAACTTTCATATTTGATTATATTCAAAAAATGCATCTTAAAATGACCATCCCAAGCTTAACTGCCGAAACACTAAAGTAGTGTCGGGTCCTATCAATATCATGCAATATGGGATGCGTGGTTACATGGGTGTTTTATTATAACAAAATGGGTTTATACATCTATGATCTGGTGTTTCTATTCAAGAGTAACCAAGACAGATGCTGTTGGTGGAAAATTACCTGATCCTAAACAGTTGTGAAGTTTGGCATACTGATAAGAGTTCAAAGATAAACGTAAAACCAAATTATTTAGACCAAGGCCGGATTTTGATTTTTCTTCTTCTTGGGGGTGATAGAGAATGGGAAAAGAAACACGTCAATTGGTCTCCGATAGTATAACGTGGTCAAAACAATAAAATTTATTTCCAATTAGGTATACAGATAAATACATGTAATATGATAAGATGATCAAAATAAAGATAGCAATAAGATAAATTATGTTATGACACATGGTATCATATCAGAGACATAAAAATACACGAGGGTGTGGATGGGGTTTAATTACCAGTTTACCGTGAGAATAGGGAGTGAGAAAGTATATAAGGAATAAAGGAAAATAGACCAACAAATAAAGAATGGAGAACAATAGAGCGCTAGATATAAGGAATAGAGAATAATGGTCAAAACAAATAAAGAATAGAGAACAATAGAGCGCTAGATATAAGGAATAGAGAATAATGGTCAAAACAAATAAAGAATGGAGAACAATAGAGCGCTAGATATAAGGAATAGAGAATAATGGTCAAAACAAATAAAGAATGGAGAACAATAGAGCGCTAGATATAAGGAATGGAGAAGAATGGTCAAAACAAATAAAGAATGGAGAACAATAGAGCGCTAGATATAAGGAATGGAGAAGAATGGTCAAAACAAATAAAGAATGGAGAACAATAGAGCGCTAGATATAAGGAATAGAGAATAATGGTCAAAACAAATAAAGAATGGAGAACAATAGAGCGCTAGATATAAGGAATAGAGAATAATGGTCAAAACAAATAAAGAATGGAGAACAATAGAGCGCTAGATATAAGGAATGGAGAAGAATGGTCAAAACAAATAAAGAATGGAGAACAATAGAGCGCTAGATATAAGGAATGAAGAAGAATGGTCAAAACAAATAAAGAATGGAGAACAATAGAGCGCTAGATATAAGGAATAGAGAATAATGGTCAAAACAAATAAAGAATGGAGAACAATAGAGCGGTAGATATAAGGAATAGAGAATAATGGTCAAAACAAATAAAGAATGGAGAACAATAGAGCGCTAGATATAAGGAATGGAGAAGAATGGTCAAAACAAATAAAGAATGGAGAACAATAGAGCGCTAGATATAAGGAATGGAGAAGAATGGTCAAAACAAATAAAGAATGGAGAACAATAGAGCGCTAGATATAAGGAATAGAGAATAATGGTCAAAACAAATAAAGAATGGAGAACAATAGAGCGGTAGATATAAGGAATAGAGAATAATGGTCAAAACAAATAAAGAATGGAGAACAATAGAGCGCTAGATATAAGGAATGGAGAAGAATGGTCAAAACAAATAAAGAATGGAGAACAATAGAGCGCTAGATATAAGGAATGGAGAAGAATGGTCAAAACAAATAAAGAATGGAGAACAATAGAGCGCTAGATATAAGGAATAGAGAATAATGGTCAAAACAAATAAAGAATGGAGAACAATAGAGCGCTAGATATAAGGAATAGAGAATAATGGTCAAAACAAATAAAGAATGGAGAACAATAGAGCGCTAGATATAAGGAATGGAGAAGAATGGTCAAAACAAATAAAGAATGGAGAACAATAGAGCGCTAGATATAAGGAATGGAGAAGAATGGTCAAAACAAATAAAGAATGGAGAACAATAGAGCGCTAGATATAAGGAATAGAGAATAATGGTCAAAACAAATAAAGAATGGAGAACAATAGAGCGGTAGATATAAGGAATAGAGAAGAATGGTCAAAACAAATAACGAATAGAGAAAATGGCATAAAAATTATAAAGACTACAGAAATAAAGCCGTGATCCCTTCCGTCTCTGATCATAATATAAAAATTAGAAGATGTGGTATAATTGTCAATGAGACAACTCTCCACCAGAGACCAAATGACATAGAAGTTAACAACAATAGGTCACCGTATGGCCTTCAACAATGAGCAAAACCTATACCACATAGTCAGCAAAGACCCCGAAATGACAAATGAAAAACAATTCAAACAAGAAAATTAACGGTCTGATTTATAGGAAAAACATAATGAAAGAAATACAAATATGATATATACAGCAACAAACGACAACCACAGAATTACATGCTCCTGACTTGGGACAGGCCGCACATACAGGATGTGGCGGGTCAGTTAAACATATTAGCGAGCCGCCAAACCATCCTCTAACCTGGGACAGTGGTGTAACAATAAAACATATGAACAAACTATATAAATCAGTTGAAAAGGGCTTAACTCATCAAATCGATACAAAGCAGAAAAACAAAAAACAAAACACAGACCGGTGACGTGGCGGGGTATTTATATATCCCTACAAAAAAAAAACCACTAAGTACAGATCTGAGATTATTCGCAGTTACTGACAGCTAGTTCAAAGCCCATTATGAATAACAACTAATAAAAAAATCATGTGTCTAAGACTAAAGTATCAATCAGTACACATCCACCATCCAATGGATTTAGTATAAAGATGTTATTAATAGTCAGAGAAAACATGACATTGTGCGTGTCCGTATGCACGATTATATTGAAAAGTTAAAGTACTGTAACAGTTTAAATCTTTTGTAAGATGCCAGAAAACATATGTTAACATAAATAATATGTTGTGACGGGATTGGTTCCGCCTTAGTACATGTAGTAGATACTTAGCCAGCCGCAAGCGGTTGAACTAGGGAAGTCCTTTTTTAGCTCGGTCGGTTAATACGCTGACTTGTAAACACAGAGGAGACAAAGTGATTTTCTAACCATTTAATTCTTAGGTGGTTCCTGGTTAGTTTGATCTCTCGGATCAGGACCAGAATACTTATTTTCTTCACCTCTAAAAAGTGACGAACAAAACTACTCCTCCCCTCAGATTCTTTTGGAATATGATAATAGCATAACAATCTGGGGGTCAAGGGTCCTACGAAGGGGCGTAGTTAACACAAAAGGTTAAAAAAAAATCTGATAAGCGTAGTGAGGCAATATATTTTTTTTTATATGATTGTAAGCCCCAAACTTGACATGTTGATTATTTGGGCCTTTAATGCAGTTGATCGTAAATACAACATTACAGAATTTAAAAATACATATTTTCAAGAAATGTCAAAACTTAGTGTCGATTTCATAGACTTTCAATCACAACGGATACGTGCATATCCTCCTCAATCAAAGATTAAGTTAGCTGTAATTATTAAGAGCTTTAAATGAAGATAACAATTAGTATATCTGCACGATGTATCCGCGACAATTCCTAAACTAATGACCGGATTTCAATTAAACTTTCATAAACAATCTGCACTAGTACGTGATGCCACTATTTCAGTTTTTTATTTATCTGAAACTGATTTTTCAATTTTTTAGCTGCAAACGTGAAATTTACTAAAATATATATGAGCTCAGTTCACTTTTATAGAACCGATTCTTAAACTTGTTGTCATGTATCTACATGTTGTATATACAATGTATACATATTAAAATAAGATGATGTGGTATGATTGCTAATGAGACAACTCTCCACAAGAGACCAAATGAATTAGAAATAAACAACTATAGGTCACCATACGGCCTTCAACAATGAGTAAAACCCATACGGCATAGTCAGCATAGGCCCCGAAATGACAAATGTAAAACAATTCAAACGAGAAAACTAACGGTCTGATTTATGTACAAAATAATGAACGAAAAACAAATATGATACAGAGCAACAAACGACGAACACTGCATGAATTACAGGCTCTTGACTTGGGACAGTGGTGTAACATTACAACATATAAACAGACAATAAAAATCAGTTGAAAAGTGCTTAACTCATCAAATCGATTCAAAGCACAATTAGAACAGAGTTCCAATGTCCCCCGCGTTGCACATATTTTATATTTCCAAGGGGCATAACTTTTTTTTAAAAAGTCGATCGTCCACCATAATGATTGTAGAACTTGTCCGACATATTGCTGATATTAACCTATGGTATAAATTTTTAAAAAATCTGGCAAGAATTGTACCTGTGAGAGCGCTAACGAGGCCATTTTCCATAAAATAAATATTTCCAAGGAGCATAACTCTTTTAAAAAAAGTCGATCGTCCACCTTTATAGAACTTGTCCGAGATATTGCTGATATTAACCTGTTGTATAAGTTTTATAAAAATCTGACAAGAATTGTACCCGTAAGAGCGCTAACGAGGCCATTTTCCATAAATTAAATATTTCCAAGGCACAACTCTTTTAAAAAAAGTCGATCGGGCATCATTATAGAACTTGTCCGAGATATTGCTGATATTAACCTATAGTATAAGTTTTATAAAATCTGGCAAAAATTGTACCTGTGAGAGCGCTGACAAGACCGAACGGACGGACACACGGACGCATTGACGGACGGACGCCCGGTATTTCCATGTCCCCCGAAACGCGTATTGCGGGGGACAAAAACAAGTAACAAAAAACACAGACCGGACGTGGCAGGGTACTTATACATCCCCACAACAAAAAGACACTATGTACAGGGAGCTTATTCACGTCCGTTAAAATTAAACGTGGTATTCACAAACGTTTCCGTAAACATTGTGATAACGGGTGCGTTAGTATGCAAATTAGACGTAATTGAAGTGTTGGGTGTTTTCATTGGTTTATAAACCAAATGGGCAATACAGTAAAAATATTTACTGTTTTCATTTTCATCATAAAAATGTAAACAGACGATGTTTAAAATTTTCTCATAATTATGCTTATAAAATTTGCTGCAATACGTCTACAAACATAACAATTAATCAACACTGCGTCTTGGTGGTGGTATTTGGACATTTATTCGTAACGTTTAGTATAGTTGATAGTTTTATCCTTTAATTTGATAGGCTAGTGGTAGCAGCGAGCGCACCTCACGTGGGAATGTATTTCGACAATTCCCAGAGGATCCAACGGTTATATTGCAAGGGAAAAATATTCTTCTTTCCAACCTACCATAATATTTTTAAAACTAAGTCAAATATCTCGTCCTGCATCAATCCCTGTCGATCGACTCATGCAAAACCAACGATATTAGATCTATTGTTGATATTTTCTCGGTCTGAATAC